GAGCCATTTGGAAGCTTATGAAATTGTAAAGTCATGTGCACTTTCATGTACATATATTTTGTGAAGAGTTTTGGTAGCTTTTTCCAGATTCTAAAAAGTGTGTATCACCAAACTGAGAGCTTTTCTGCACTTCTTCCCACTGAAAGACTTCTTCTCAGCAAGCTCGTTCCTTTTGATCCAGTGAGTTTAATTATGATTGCTTACATGAGTAGAGAGTTATGTACTGGAGCATGGACATCTTATCAATGACTATACCATTAAGGAAAATCACATCCCTTCCCAGTACCCATTAACTGTCCATAGTTCTTCAATGCAAACGTAGTTATTACATTTTTTTTTAATTTCTGAGACCTTTTCTTATGTAGCCAAGACTTTGTTATATTGCCAAGGATGACCTTGAACTCATAATCCTCCCACTTTAACTTTTAAATAATAACATCAACTTGTTAAAATAATCAGGACTGAGGTTTAAAAATTGAGCTGGAGAGATAGCTTCATGGATAAAGTACTTGTCATGTAAGAATGCATACTTGAGTTCTGTCCCCAGAATTCATATTAATAAGGTATTCACTCACTGATTATTGGCTATTAGCCCAGAAGCTTAAAATACACAAGATTCAAATCACAGACCACATGAAGCTCATGAAGAAGGAAGACCAAGTTGGGGCGCTTTGGCCCTTCTTAGAAGGAGTAACAAAATACTCAAGGGAGCAAATATGGAGACAAAGTGAGGGACAGAAACTGAAGGAGGGGCCATCTGAAGACCATTCCACCTGGGTATCCATCCCATGTGCAGTCACCAAAGGTAGACGCTGATGTGGATGTCAGGAAGTGCATGCTGACAGGAGCCTGATATAGCTGTCTCCTCAGAGGTCTGCCAGAGTCTGACATATTTAGAGGAACTAACCATTGAACTGATCATGGGGTTCCCAATGGAGGAGTTAGACTGAAGACTGTAGGAGCTGAAAGGGTTTGTGACCCCATGAGGAGAGCCACAATACCAACCAACCAGAGCTCCCAGGGTCTAAACCACCAGCCTGAGAGCACTTAGGGAGGGACTCATGGCTCCAGCTGTATATGTAGGGGAGGATGGCATTGTGGGGCATAGGTGGGAGAGGAGATCCTTGGTCCCATGAAGGCTGGACACCGAGTGTGGGGGAATTCGAGGGTGGGGAGGTGGGAGGGGGGTAGGTAGGGGCACATCCACAGAGAAGCAGGAGGAGGAGCGATGGAATAGGGGATTCCTGGGCGGAGAGGGGGGAAGGGATAAGAGGATAATGTATGAAATGTAAATAAAATATCCAATTTAAAAAAAAGCCATGTATGGACACACATACATACATACACACATATATACCCCTAATATGATTTCAATCTTTTCCCATTTTTCCTTTCTTTTATTCTCCTTTTTTTCTTGTTTACAGTTTTAGCCAAAAAATGATGACTCTTGGTAGTTAAAATTATTCTGAAGACAAATTCAGTATGTTGGATCACAGTAGAAAGACTCCATGCAGTAACTTGTATTTAGTGATCCTTAAATAGAACTCCTGTAATGAAGTTGTTTCAAATGGTTCCAGCTGTCCAAATCTCTTAGGTAAATAAAAAGCTGAAACTTCACAAGCTTATAACCAATACAATACTTTAAAAACAATTTACTACCATTTTTGGCATGTGCCATCATATTTGGCTGCAGCATTATGAGATGGAAGGATCTCTTGAGCTCAGGAGTTAGAGAGCAGCTTAGGAAATGCAGCAAGACCCCACAACTACTTCTGAAAGAGAAAAAGAAAACACAAGAAGTAGGTTTTTCAAATGGCTGTTAAGATCATCATACTGACGTGGCATAGAATGACAGACTGCATGTCTCCAAGCTGCTCTGTTAAAGGGTTTGTTTACAATTTTTATTTATTCATTTATTCTCTCTCTCTCTCTCTCTCTCTCTCTCTCTCTCTCTCTCTCTCTCT